GGGAGGCCGGGCCGTGAGGGAGGCCGAGCCGTGAGGGAGGCGCTGCCCCGGCCCGGCCCGACCCGGGTGAGCCGCCCCAGCCGGCTCCGGCCCTCGCCTTTTTCTTTCGCCAGAGCATTACGTCATGCTTTTTCCTCCACGTGGAGGTAGGCTGGATATAGTATTTAAAGATTCGCTCCGCTGATTAAAATTCCTTGTTTCTGTGCTCTTCTGTTCTGCTTTCACAGAAGCGGTATGTTCTGACCCTGAAATATGTCAAATGGGGGAGAGAGATTTCTGCCTGAAAGACATAACCGGCTTCATTTGCAATACTCAGTGAGCGAAATACATGCTGTTGTAAAACATACAAAAACAGAACAAACGGTGGTTTGAGAGGTCCTTTGTTCTTTTCAGTCCTAAAGGAAAGCTTTTGATAGGAAAAAATAATAATAAAAAAAAGCCACCTGCTATCACAGCTGTCAATTCACCTTAAGAAAAGAACTGCACCAGACCCATCTTATTTTAGTCCTCGAACACAAAAGTGCTGCTGGCTGAATCAAATTTGTTTCAGTGGTAGAATGTCTTTAACAAGGTTTTCACTGTCATCATCTCTCCAGTACAGCCAGGCAGGAACCATGATGGGCACTATGGGAGAGAGGTGATGGGTAAAGCAAACACAGCTCCATGGATCTTTTAAAATGCTAGTTTTCATGCGGTACACATGCTTATTGGCATTCGAAAAACAGTAAATACTACAATTCCTTTAAAGGTTTAATTCTGATACACAAAAATTAAAGAAGAAAATAGATCTAGCTCCCTTTCCTTAGAAATAATGATGTTACAACTAGCATTTTGATATATGCATTTCTGATGTCATGGCAGCATTTTCTCAACTCATCATGCCTAATTTCTTCTGAAGTTTAACTCAGATTCCAACTTTAACCCTTTTGACTCTGAAGATTAAATAGTAGGGAGCAAAAGACAATTTAATTTATGTTTAAAGCATTAGCAATTCTGCAATTAGCTCAATACTGTACAAATTCAGTGATAGTGGACATTCAATGACTCTTACAGTTATACATATGCACTGTATAGACATTGTATATACCCTGTAGAGTATTGATTTGCCCATAAAACTTTAACCTCTAGTCTGTAAGCTATAATCTAAAAAATGTGAACAGGGAGTGAAAGACTATAGCAGAAGTGCTAATTTTACAGCAATAGAGTAAGCTTCTAAAAATAGACTGTATCCTTGCTCACATCAGATAACTCCAAGACATGGTTTCTACACACACATTTACTGATTCCTAATATCATGATCTTATCATTGCATGTTATTTGAGAAACTGGATATTAAATTTTTTCCTGCAGCAAAACCAAAATAAATATGTAATTATATAAGCATATAAATGAGGATAATAGTATTTTTATATATTGAAATTTCTGGGAACTTTTTATAGGAAGAAGGCAATGATACATTTGAATTGAGTGTAATGTTTCATGTGGATTCAGCCTGATTTGAATTTGAAAACTTGACATAGTGTTTCAGGCCTTAATCAGGGTAACTAATAATGTGTCATTCTAGCTCTTGGGCTGAATCAAATTAAGAAACTACTAAGGCTTTTTTCAAGAAAACTCTTCTTATGGCACATCCTGAAAGCTTTAATTTTAGCATCGGTTTCCTTCTTTTTTCCAGTTTGAGCTTAGCTTTCCATCTGGACTGTTTTTCTCATGAGGTACCAGTAGCAAGCTGTAGTGGAGGAGATAGGTTGAAACAGTGTATCTACTAAAAAAAAGTTCTAGTGAGGTTTGTCAATGGTTAAGTGTCCATTGTTTAAAAGGTGGTACTCTCCATCCACTACCCAATCTTGGCTTGTCCATCTTCTCTGTCACCCTGCTCCATAGCAGCACCATTTATACACTCACAGCTAAGCGGTGGGGAGAAAATAAACTGTTTGCATTGAAAATAACCAGACATAATATTGAATAATCTATGTGGGAGAAGTAAAACTTACTCTACTCTACTGAATCTGATTTAGCTTCTATGGTGACACATGATCTATTGCAGTCAGCTTTTCAAATTATCTGCTGAGCTTGTGTGTGCATTTTCTAGGTCTGGTTTGCAGTTTGTTATTAGATCCTTTATGTCCACACAATTTATACAAAAGTTCTCTCCTCAAGAAATGCCAGTGGCTTTTTCTGTTGCAACCTCAACCTTTGTAATGACTGTTCAAAAGACACTCCAATGGTGCAAGACCTGCTGGCTTGCCTGAGTGAAAGCTAAATTAATTTGTTTGAAACACATTTCTCCTCCTATAGATTAACAGATTTGTTAGTTCTGCAATGAATGTGTTATACCAATGTGCATGTATGTAACAGAGTTTTTAAAGTAATGTACAAGAAGTAAGTTATGTGAAAACGTGAAATAGTAGTAAATAAATTAAATAATGGCTCCTTTTAATAACTAATTAAAAATTCCTTTTATTTGCATTTCTGCTTTAAAAATTATGCTGTTACTTTTCACAATCACTGAGTCCTTCGTATTCCTACTGATTATTACTGAAACATGGACATAGTGCATTTAATTTGCTCAGTACCTAACATAATATTGCCTTATATTGTCAGGCATAGAAAAGCAGAAATTATTCAACCTCTGTTCATCAAAAGCTTCTCAAACACAAAATGCACCTTTCTTGTTCCTTTTTTCACAGGCAGCTGGTGTTCCTTAATTTCATTGTTATGCAAGAGGTTAGAAGTGACATATTAGTACTTCCATGAGATTATGCTTTGTGTGCAAAGCAGCACTTAAAGTAGTACAGAGGCCCTTTTTTCTTTTATCAGTGTAAACCATAGTCTGCTTTGTAGGCTAATGGGCAGAAGTATATAGAGAGGAAAAAAACCCACTGTTTTTGTCAGTTGCCTCTGCAAATTCCCTAGACAAACAGAATCTAGTGTGAACCAGCAAAACAAGCCTAGGCAAAACACAGAACCACAGTAGACTGGGTTTTTGGAGTGATTTTTTTTTTTGTTTTGGTTATTTGTTTACATTAGATTAAGGGATATTTTTGTTTTGGTTGTTTTTTGGGATTTTTAATGCAACCTACAAGATATAATAAAACATTGTAAAAGCTGAAACAGATTCAGTATGACAAGCAGCTGTACAGCTTTCTCCCTTATGGATTAGCTAATAATAAGTTTTGTTATTTTGGAAGCAAACAGGTTGTTTTCTCTTCATGTTGCTCAGAGTGGTGGTGAACATATGAAGAGTACTACTATGGAGCTCAGTAGGATAGTGGGAAAAAGAGAAAATTATTATAATTATGGAATTCCTCTTATTGTATTTATCCCAGTAAGAGGTCATTTTCTAAAATTACTTTGTTGTTTTTCAGAATTGGATTTAATCCAGATTTTTAGTGAGCCTCGGGCCTTATGTAAATCTTCCACTTTCAAGAGTCACAGGACCACCTCTGAAAATATATAAGTGCTTGAAGGAAAATTGTGTTTTCCAAATACAAAAGGCTCCATAAATTTTTGTGCACCCTGAGCCCTCTCAAGTAATTGGGTTCTGTGTCTCTATAACCTATTGACAAATTCATATCATTTTCTTCAAGGTAATCTAGTTTTTCTTGTCTCTGCAGATTACACTTGTATTTCCCAGTATGGAGGCTGCTCGTAGAACTGAAGAACTATATTTCTATATAGTTTTACTTTTTTACGTAAGATTAGAAAGAGAAAATTAGGTCTCTGGCTTGAGATTATGACAGTTGCTGATAATTATGAAACAAATGCTCAGAAGGTTTTGCATATGCACTTTTCTACTGGAACCATAGAATTCTGTTAAAAAATAACTTTTAACACCAAGGAACAAATGGTCTTCAGCATGACATGTCATGCAAGTAGTTAGTAGAGAAATTGGAGAGTAGTCAAAATAGGAAAGAAATATCCAAATTCCATCAGCATTTATTTTCTACCAGTCTTTGAGAAAGTGTAGTGTCCTTCAACCATATAGTACCCAATGATACTTACCTCTTTGTTCTTAGAAAAAATTCCACCATCTATTGAATATGTGAGCTGTAATAGTTGTAGCATCATCACTATGATGCCCTTTATTCCATTTTTTCCCATTGGAATTATAATTTAAGTTCAGTTTTCATTTGTTGCTGCTTTTTTATCCTCCTGATATCCTGATAGCCATAATGACAAGAGTTACATTTTTTACACTGTATTTTATATTTGGTTTTCTATAATGTGTGGGAATTAAAACTTTTGCATTTATCCATATAATTATTTTAATTATCTACATTTGTCTGATGAGGTTTGTTTCTTTTCCTTTCTTTCTTCTACTTTTGTACTGTTGGAAATAAATCTGAATGGTAGCTCTCAAATTTTTGGTATTAGTGATCGTATGAGTCTTTATAAATAGTATTCTGTCTTAAAGGTAAAAAGTGCTATATCCACACAAACTACACTGGCCTATGCTTTGTGTGCAGGACAAAAACTTGAGAAAACCAGGGAATCTAGCACAGCTTCCCTTTTGGCATATGGACATTCATTTCAAGCACCCAAATCTCCTTCAAGATGTGTGCAGGTAAAAGGAACAGTGATGTATTTTAGGTGCTGCGGACACCAGGCTGTGTAAGGGGTTGAAACCAGGTATTTTATTTTGTCTTTACTTTTATAGGATGTCATTGTGAGCATCCTTAACCTAAAAACTCTCTCCTTTCTGTTTTCCTGGTGCTTTGTAGCTCTGTATTTAGCCTAAGCAGAACACTCTTAAAATCCTGCTCTCAGAACTAAAGGTAATTAAAATATTAAAGTTTTAGTGCTGGTGATATCCTTTTCATATTTTTTCCTTTTGGATCAAGTGTGTGGTTAAAAAAGCAAAACAAAATAAAACAAAAAACTCCAGCCAACAGTATTTTAAAATAAATAAAATGCAATTCCACCAATTAAATCCAAAACTGCTGTATGTACAAAAATTAGAGAAAGAGAGGGAGAGAGAGAAATGTCTTTTACAATAAAAATTGTCTCATCTAAGATAATATCTTTATTGGTCCAGCAACTTAGCTGCAGTCTGGCTGACTTCTAAAAATTCAGTACTAAAGAAGAGAAGGAGAAAAATAAACCCTTGGCTCAGTAAAAAATTTCTGCGCTGTGGGTTTTGACA